ACAGACACGCTACAGACACGTACAGACACGCTACAGACACGTACAGACACGCTACAGACACGTACAAACACGCTACATACACGTACAGACACGCTACAGACACGTACAGACACGCTACAGACACGTACAGACACGCTACAGACACGTACAGACACGCTACAGACACGTACAAACACGCTACAGACACATACAGACACGTACAGACACGCTACAGACACGTACAGACGCGCTACATACACGTACAGACACGCTACAGACACGTACATACACGCTACAGACACATACAGACGCGCAACAGACACATACAGACACGTACAGACACGTGTATACACGCTACAGACACATACAGACACGTACAGACACGTACAGACACGCTACAGAGCGCCGCAAAGACAAACCCACGCAGCCGTAAGCACGTCACAACGACTTTCGCCTAATTAACCCTCGCTCTCATCATTCATTATATAGACGCTTGCTGCTTAATATATGAGTCGAGACGCGATGATAGGTATAGGTATTAGAACCGTGAGTGATAGTTTCTTCGCTAGGCGCCGATCATAGCAGATGCGCATGCGCAAACGCCCTCGCTATGGGCGTTGCCATGGCAGCGCGGTTCGGATGAAGGTGGGCACTATATAACAACCACCGTAGCACCGCATTTCCATAATGCTTTGCGCTTTTCGCCGCATATATTGTTTATAACGTAGATAACTTTCATTATTGCCGCGTAGCTTCCCTCGAACTTTCAAGCGGCAAACATAAAATCAGGAAAAAATGAATTATTTTAACATTGCACGTTTGTACTTGCCTATATATGTGTGATAGGTAAAAAAATTGATCGGGAATACGTTCATTCAAAGCTTTTAGACTACAAAGTAAAACGTTCGGGTCGAATGTTTCCCAGCGTTTACTTTTGCCGCTATGCGGCGATTGTTCCGCTCCGCGCACTGGCCGTGTTACGTATGGATGTATGAAGTTGAACCATGCTATGTAAAATTATACACACTGGCATATGTTATGACCCAATGGTTTTTCTGGTCACGTACATGTGTAGCTAATAGGGAAAGGGCAACGTTTTTGTTCAAATATAAACAATATATTATGCGGCGAAAAGCGCAAAGCATTTTGGGAATGCGGTGCTACGGTGGTTGTTATATAGTGCCCACCGCGGATGAATCTAGCAGCGCTGCGCACGGCCCTAGCAACGATGCGCGCGTCCCTAGCAACACTGCTCGCACCGGTTTCGAAAGAAGTTCAATTATGCTTACAGTGACACGTGGGCCTGCCTTAGAGAGAGTACTTGTATTTCTATTTCACCCGCCCCGGACGATCTATAATTAATAGCAGAAGCCAGAGTTTCCGCGCGTTTTTCTGCGTCTTGACTCACCCTGGCGTGTCAACCGCCGACGAGGAAAACTCGAATAAGCGGGACTGTTTTTCTGCCGTCGCCACACGGGAGCGCGTGCTGGGCGCTGTTTGCAGGTTAGGCTGCGGCATTAGACAGGGTCGCTACACAAAGCGATAGAGCGGAGCGAGAGAGGAGTAGAGGAACGGAAAATAGATAGATGAGGAATAAGAGATGTGGGAGGAAGGCGCTGGAAGAAAGTGACAGCGGGACAGAGACAGCGACAGACACAGAGACAGGGAGACAGGGGAAGAGAGAGAAGGAGAGAGAGATAGAAAGAAAAGAAAGAAAGAGAGCGCGCGCGCGAGAGAGAGAGAGAGAGAGAGAGAGAGAGAGAGAGAGAGAGAGAGAGAGAGAGA